TTCATCTTTAAATGCTATCCAATGACAACTTCCCTTCCTTCATCTGTGGCTTGTCAGTGTGCTTGATGACATTCCATTGATAAATCCATAGATTGTAATGGCTTCCATTTCTGAAAGATTTGGTCAGATGTAGTGTCTAAACCTTTCTAGACAGCTATTAACCTAGCAGTAGAGCAAGTGTATACCCTGAGAAAAGAGTGACTCTTTGGTAGGACTTGTATAAACCAGCATAAGCCTTGGACACTTACTCCGAGGAAGTCCTGCAGCTGTGCACATTCCTCGATTTTTTGTTCTACTTTTTCTGTTGCTCTTCACTTACTTATTTCAAGCTGGCGGGCAGTCCTTCTGCCTCAGTTTTCGGAGCAGCTCAGATTACAGGTACATATACCTTCAGTATATTCTCAAAAGACAAATTCCATTCCCAGCCCCCACTGCTTAGCCCCTTTTCTCCCACGTGCAGATACACTTCTTGCCCTGTCATTCATAAATAAACTTGACTCATGCTAGCTGAAGGCATTTGTTTCATGTTTAGTCTGCTACTCAACAATATTTTTTTTCTGTAAAAGGGCAGTTAATAACTATTTTCGTCTTTAAGCCACACAGTCTTGGTCTTGAAGACTCAACTCTGTGGCTGCAGCTCCAAGTTGCAATAGTCAATAGTAAATACATAGACTGTTCCTAGGAAACCTTTGTTTATGGACATAAAATTTATATTTTGCAGAATTTTTATATGCTCTGAATTATTGTTTTTCTTTGGATTAAAAATCTATGTAAAATGTTAAGAACGATTTGGCTCCTGGATAGGCTTTTTGACCACCAGGATTTCTGGGCTTCTTATGCTTGTGTAAAAAAAGAGTCTTGGATAATGGTAGGTGCTTGCTAAAAGCTTGTCTGGGGATAATATACTTTAAATAGTGTCTTTGGAATATATAAGCACATAACATGGCCTTATGTTTGCCAAGGTCAATTTAGTTGGACAAACACTTTCACAAATGTGATTTGATTTCATCCCTCATCCTGTGGTTCTGCAGGGATAGTGGTGATTCTCCTTTACAGTGATAGAGTTTGTCTTTGGAGTGTATTTGGCTTTGTGCTTTCAATGACTTCCATGGGACTCCAACAAAAACTACCATAGAAAATGTCTGGACATTTCTACTTATATGGGGGATATTGGGGTGATTTTGATCTCAAAATTACACATTAATCTTCTATAATTCACTTCAACTGCTTAGACTGCTCTCACCCACAAGACAATGAATGAGCCCCATCAGTCTCTTGTAAGCATGCAGTAACAGATAAGCCTAGAAGTTCTGCCTGTGATGTAATTACTGAATGATTGAGGTCCCCTATGGGGTGAGAAAAACTGTGTTAATCACCTCCCAGATTTATCCCTCTTCCTTCTTTAGTCTGTTGTGTGCCCCTGGTCAGTTCTATGTCCTTGAGGTCAGAGTCCAGGTGAGTTTGAGGAATAGGAAGCACCAGGGAGGTAGAAAGGGTGACAGGAATTGAGACAGGATGCTCATCCTTTTACTAGATGTGAAGACCTTGACATCTACCTCTTCTGGGTGTGCTGTAGCTATGTCTTCCATAGGGGCCAGCATTCTTCTACCTGTGATAGGTGTGCTGTGACTGCATCCTCCATCACTAGCTCATGGTCATCTTACACATCCAGGAGACAGGTTGAGAGCCATGACTGTTCACGCCCATCATCCATCCATGGGCTTGATTAGTTTCTGGTTTTGCTGAGTCACTAGCACATTAGCATACATTAGCATAAGGCTCTGCATCTTTTTAGCTTTTTAAACCTAAGAATTTGCCCCTGAAACTGTTCCAGTCAGTTCACAAAGACATACTTTAAAAAAAATGGTATAAGCACAAATCATAAATAGCACAAGTCTTCTGTCAGGCTTGTTACATTACTTTGTGGTGCAGGCAGCCAACAATCATATCTTGGCATATACATACATGTGTGTACATATGCATACATACACACACAAATATATAATTCTGATGTACATGAAATATGAGCTACATTTTAGAAACTTTGTTTCCTGGTTCAGTATAATTTTCACCTTCATTTTCTTACTCTAAGTGAAGTTGGACATCTCTTGTATATTCAGGAATCATTTATACACATGCTTTTTGGTAGATTTTTTTATCTGTAATCTTTTCTTCTTTTTCCTTTGTTGGTTGTATCTCTTTATTACAGCTTTGTGAGGACTCTTCCTGTGTTAAGGATGTTATAAAAATGTTTTTTTAATGACTTGTGAGGGTGTTTCGTATATCCTTGCTTAGTGCTTTGATTTTGTTTATAGAAGTCTTTCCTGGGAATAATTTTAAAAAATTTATAACAAGATACACCATTTTTTTTTTTTTTGCTTTTGTGGCTTCTGTATTGTGTGCTACAGAAAAGAATGTCCTTCTGAGATCTACTATATTATATTATCATGGGTTTGGGATCTTACCAATATTTTTCATCATTTCTGGAGAGTATATATAGCATTTTTTTTTTTTTTTTGGTAACACGTCAATATGGCAAAGGCTACTAATTGATGTGATCACTAGAGCTGAATAATCTTTGAATTCTGGGCATAAGTGTCTATTTTTTTCTTTACATTCTGTTTACTACTTGGCAGGTAAATGTTAATTGATTCAGTCAGCTCTTCACTGCTGAAATATGGCCTCCAGAAATGGAACTCTTCTTCCACACTACACGGAAAATGACTTTAGGACAGTGTTTTAGACTCGGTTCTGGCTACTTACAAAGTCTCAGCTCCATTTTGTCTTTACAGTAGTAGGCACTGTTGTTTTCTAATCATTACTGCAGCCATGACACATATTGCTTGTTATTATTTGGGGAAGTGTCTGTCAAAGGTCCATGCACTGAAGACTTGCTCATCAGCCTGCAGTGCCATTGGGAAATCCTTTAAAAAATGGGACCAGCTGAGAAAAATTAGATCACTGGGGTGTGCCCTTGAAGGGGTTCTTTATGCTTCTGTCAAACACCCAATAAGGTTATTTAAGGGAGGAATTTTTCTTCTGGTTCCCAGTTGTAGAGGGCTTTGGACTGTCATGGTGGGGGAAACATGGCAAAGGCTTTCTGGGAAACAGTGTTAGAAATGATTCCTATCACAGCAGACCAGGAGCAGAGAGCAAGACAGGAGCCAGGGGCTGAGTATCTCTTTCAACGGCCTGCCTCCAGTGACCTATTTTGGTCATCCGGTTCACTTTATAAAGGTTTGGCAAACACTCAGGCAGAAGTATTCGAGACACCAGGTTGAGTGGAACATTTTAGATCCATAACTGGACCCTAGCTCATCCTCTCCTCGGCTGCTTGCTGGCGTCATGAGCTGAGCTCGTTTCCTGTCCTAAGCTCTTTTATGATGTACTACACTTCCACAGCCCCAAAAGAAACAGGTCCCTGAAGTGGATAGAAGTCTCCCCAAAACTGTGAGCCAAAATTAACCTCGACATTTCTCTCTCTCTCTCTCTCTCTCTCTCTCTCTCTCTCTCTCTGTCTCTGTCTCTCTCTCCCTTCCTCCCTTACTCTCTCCCTCCCTTACTCCCTCCCTCCCTTACTCCCTCCCTCCCTTACTCCCTCCCTCCCTCCCCCCTCTTTATTTCTAGTGCTGGGGATTAGATGGAAAGACTTGCATATTTTGAACAAGCACGATCACTGAACTACATCCGTAACCAGTTTTTTTTTCTCCTCTGGAAGTTGATTGTTCCAGGTGAGGTGTTTCGTAACAGCAACAGAATGCTGACTACCACATTACTGGGGCCTTTATTATGTATTGCTGCAAGTTTGGACTCAATGCTTCTGTCAGTACTTCCTTACCCACCCATGAGCCTGGGCTAGTAGAATACAGCTGAGACCCGGGTTTCATTGCACCTGATGGGTAGTGTATTTTGGCCCATGAGCACACCGAGTAAGGGGTTGTCCCTCCTTAACAATTTGGCATATCCGGTCCTTGTTCATGCTTCTCAGGTCTCACACCTGACTCTACCAGAATTTTCTGTAGCACTTCCCAAGTATGCTAGATGACAAGGGCCCCAATGTTCTCACCCTCAATATCCCCAATGAAGGTGACCCTTATTTACACTATTGTATATGTTTTCTCCATGATAATTCATAAAATAAATTGACTAATAGCTCCTTTAATGTGATTATTTTGCAGAAATTTTGTTATCAGTGTTATACTATTTGCATATAAAGAATATGAATGTTCTAAAACAATATACATGGCATTGGAGTTTCCAATTCTGTAACATTTATTAGCAATCTGTGAAACTAGCCGGCATAGTGGTATCTATGTACAGCCAGCACTGGACTGTTGAGGTCAGAGGACTTTGGCTCTGGGCCAGTCTGAACTATATACCAAGACCATGGAAAAAACCTCCATGATAGGTGGGGGAAATCTGTCCAGATTAGGGCACTATAAAAGTGTCTGTAATAATCATTTTAATTCTATATCAATTAACCTTGATAGTTTTTTTATGTTTGGAGGTCAATTTTGATAGTGAATATTTATTGTTTATATAAAGTTTTATCTCATAATTCAATAATTCCCTTCTGTATTTGCCTTATCATTTCTAATGCTTTATTTTTATTTCTCCCTTCATTGTTTTTAGTGATTTTGATGTGAGTTTTAATAAAACTAGCACTTGGGTTTGTTAATGGACACTACTGATTTTCTACTTTCACTTTAGTAGTTTATGGTTTTATCCATAGAAATATGCTCTTTCTTTTTTTAAAATTTATTTATTTAATATGTATACATTATTCTGCCTCTGAAATATGCTCTTTCTGACTTCTTTTGGTTCATTTGGTTATTTGTCCAGGCTCTCAAGTATATGTGTAACTTCCTCAGTTTTTTTTTTTTTTTGGCTGATCAGACACATTTATTAATGCCACATTGTAAATGGTACTTAGAGAAGTGTACAGCGATGTTCCATGTTCCCATCTAACACAGCTTGCTGAAGTTTAGCCGACAGGATTCATCTTGAATGGACTCGGAGTCGTTAGTGATGACCATGGGCAGGTGCAGGACTGGAGCCTTTCAAAGCTTTACTTCTTTTATCAGCACTCCTGATTTTATAAAGGATGAAGGTCATCAACCCCATTCCTACCCAAATTTCCTGGTAAACCTGGGTATAGTAGGGTTTCATGGGGACCCAGACATTCTTAATAAGGCTTTGAAGCATCTCAGCGGGACCAAGGCCACAGGCCACACCAGATTTCCACAAGCCTGGGAAAGGTCACTGAACACGCAAGCGCTGCGCGGGGCCAGTCCACTTCCTCAGTTTTTATACTTTATTTTTAACTGCATAAATAGTAACATATATTTTCTTTTATCATTGTTTTAATTATGCTACATAAGTCATGACCCATCTTGTTTTCATTAACATTTTTTTACTTTAAACCTTAGTTTATATTTGTATATTTATTATTATCAAATATGGTGAATAACTAGACTGAGCATATAGACATTCATTAACATGGTTTTCTAAATATCCTATGATTTGAGGTTTGATTTTTTTTCAGTGGCTGAAGAATTAAGGAAATCTTTTAAAATAGCTCTAAATAGAAGGCTCATTTCTAAATAGTAGTTTTCAGTTTCTATTTTTATTATGGGTGTCTAATTTTACTGTATGGCAACCACAAAACATATTTTCCCTTTTAAAATTATAACAAAGAGTCTGATACATAGCAATCAGAACGTCCTCACTATTTGTTGCTTAGGTCTTCTGTTATATACTGTGGGTATGGACACACAAGGTGTGTCCGTACACACAAGGTGTGTCCGTATGAGGTTTACCATGGCATGATGCTGAACTTCTGCACATTGCTCAGTACATCTCCTGTGCATTACTCTAGCATGTGGTGTTGTATTTTGTGAAGTGAACTCATAACTGTTATATGAGTGTTGGGGACTGCAAGCTTCATTGTGTTAAAATGGATTCCTTGGTGAATTCTAAGATTTCTTCCTTTAAGCATATATGTTTGAGTGCATATTTTTTGTTTTACTTTGCAGTTGTTTTAAAAGAGGAATCATTGCTGGGCGGTGGTGGTGCACGCCTTTAATCCCAGCACTCAGGAGGCAGAGGTAGGAGGATCTCTGTGAGTTCGAGGCCAGCCTGGTCTACAAGAGCTAGTTCCAGGACAGGAACCAAAAGCTATGGAGAAACCTTGTCTCAAAATCCAAAATAAATAAATAAATAAATAAATAAATAAATAAGGAACAATGCAAGCCCATGGAGGGACAAAGCTCTGGTTTTGTCGTATCTGTAAGGGGTAGGACTGAAATCCCTGCTACATGGTCTCCTTTCCCAAGCCTCAGAAAAATTGATTTCATTTACATATCCCAACTGTTTGAGAAAAATATATCTTATGCGTATATTTGACATATAAATTAGAACAAATTAAGTCAAATCTAAATAAATAGATACATAAAAGCTGATTATTCAAAGCTGATCACCCAATTACCTTGAAATTTTCTTCCCTCCCACCCTCTACGATTTAGACATCTTTTTTATCTCTCTTTCTCTCTCTCCTCTTCCTCCTCCTCTTCTCTCTCCTTATTTTCTTCTTTCATCACTTCTTCTACACCTCTAGACCCTCTCTCCCTCTGCCTTCTATCTGTGTTCTGATGCCCACCTCTTAAACATTCTATTCAAGGAAGAGACCTCTTTCTTCCTTCCCCCTAGCAACTATCAAGCTCTTTGAACTTGAGGACCCTTGAATCACTTAGGATTGGTTTGAACTGCCAGATAAAGGGAAGAGTCAACACTAGCCCCTCTGGCCTGCAGCCTCTGAAGCCCCTGCAGCCCCTGCAGCCCCTACAACCCCTGCAGCCTGTGCATTCTAGAGTTTGTCATCATCATTTTTTTAGCAGCCTTTTCTCCTTCTACATACCTATACCAGTTCCCACTCCCTTCCCTCCTCCCACTGCCCCCACCCAACACCTCATTTACCCCTCAGAGAGGGTAAACCTTCCCACGGGGTGTCAACAAAGTCAGACACATCAGTTTGAGGGAGGACCAAGGCCCTCCCAGTGATACCTAGGCTGAGCAAGGTATCCCTGCAAAAAGAATGGGCTCCAAAAAGCAGTTCAAGCATTAGGGATAAATCATGGTCCCATTGCCAGTGGCCCCACAGACTACCCAAGTCACACAACTGTCACCCACATTCAGAGGGCCTAATTTGGTCCTTTGTAGATTACCCCACTATCATTTCAGAATCAGTGAGCTCTCACTAGCTCAGGTCAACTGTTTCTGTTGGTATTCCCATCATGGTCTTGACCCCTTTGCTCATATTATCACACCTCCCTCTCTTGGACTGGTCTCAAGAAGCACAGTGCTTAGCTGTGGATCTCTGCCTCTGCTTCTATCAATTGGTGGATGAAGGTTCTATGATGACAGTTAAGGTGGTCATCAATCTGATTACAGGGAAGGCAGTACAGGTGCCCTCTCTAATATTGCTTAGAGTTTTAGCTGGGCTCATCCTTGTGGATTCCTGGAAATGTCCCTGGTGCCAGGTTTCATGCTAGCCTCATAATGGCTCCCTCAATCACGATGTCTCTTTTCTTGCCCTCCCTCTCTATCCTTCCCCCATCTTGACCATCCCTATCCCTCATGTTCTCCTCTCTCTGTTTCTTGCTTCCCCTTCTCCTTTCACTCTCTCCCCCACCACATTCCCAATTTTCTCAGGAAATCTTGTCTATTTCCCCTTCCCAGAGTGATTCATGTATGTCTCACTTAGGGTTCTCCTTGTCACTTAGCTTCTCTAGGGTCGTGAACTATAGACTGGTTATCCTTTCCTTGACACCTAACATTCACTTATGGGTGACTGCATACCATGCTTGTCTTTCTGGGTCTGGGTTACCTCACTAAAGATGTTTTTTTCTTGTTCCATTCATCTGCATGCAAATTTAAGATGTCATGGCTTTTTACTGCTCAGTAGTACTCCGTTGTGTAAATGTATCTCATTTTCTTTATTTGGTTGAGGGACATGTAGGTTATTTTCAGGTTCTGGCTGTTATGAAAAAGGCTACTATAAACACAGTTGAGCAAATGTTCTTGTGATATGAGTGTGCATCCTTTAAGTATATGCGCAAGAGTGGTATTGTTGGGTCTTGAGGTAGACTGAGTCCCAAATCTGAGAAATTACCATAGTAATTTCCAAAGCGGCTGTATGAGTTTGTACTCCCATCAGCAATGGAGGAGTGTTCCCCTTATTCTGCACCCTCTCTAGGATAAGCTATCATCAGTGTTTTTGATCTTAGCCATTCTGACTGGTGTAAGATCTCAGAGTCATTTTGATTTGCATTTCTCTGATGGCTAAGGATGTTGAACAATTTTTAAAGCGTCTTTTGGCAATTTGAGATTCTTCTGTTGAGAATTCTGTGTTTAGATCTGTGCCCCATTTTTAATTGGATTATTTGGTATTTTGACGTCTAGTTTCTTGAGTTCTTTATATATTTTGAAGATCAGTCCTCTACCAGATGTGAGGTTGGCAAAGATCTTTTCCCACTCTGAAAGTTACCATTTTTTCTTATTGGTTGTATCCTTTGACTTATAGAAGCCTCTCAGTTTTAGAAGGTCCTATTTATTAATTGTTGTTCTCAGTGTCTGTGCTATGGTGTTATATTTAGGAAGTGGTCTCCTGTACCCATGCTTTCAAGGATACTTCCTAATTTCTTTACTGTGAGGTTCAGTGTGGCAGGATTTATGTTAAAGTCTTTGATCTATTAGGCCTTGAGCTTTGTGCATGGGGATAGATGTGGATCTGTTTACATTCTTCTACATGTTGACATCCAGTTATACCAGCACCATTTGTTGAAGATGCTTTCTCTTTTCCATTGTATAATTTTAGCTTCTTTGTCAAAAATCAGGTATTAATAGTTGTGTGAATTAATATCAGGGTCTTCATTTTGATTCCATTGGTCTACCTGTCTGCTTTTACGGCAATATCAAGTTGGTTTCGTTACTATAACTCTATAGTAGAGCTTGAAGTCAGAAATGTTGATGCCTCTGGAAGTTCCTTTCCTGTACTGGATTGTTTTTGCTTTCCTGGATTTTTTTTTTCCATATGAAATTGAGTATTCTTCTTTCAAGGTCTGTAAAGAATTGTGTTGGGATTTTGATAGGGATTGCATTGCATCTATAGATTGTTTTTGGTAAGATTGTCATTTTCATTATGTTGATCCTATCTATCCAAAAGCATGGGAGATCTTTCTATTTTCTGATATCTTCTTCAACTTCTTTTTTTTTCAACGACTTAAAGTTCTTTTAATACAGATCTTTCACTTCTTTGGTTATCATTACCCCAAGATATTTCATGTTGTTTGTGGCTAATGTAAAGGGCAATGTTTCTCTGATTCTTTCTCAGCCTTTTTATCTTTTGTAAATAGGAGGACTGCTGATTTTTTTCCAGTTGATCTTGTATTCTGCCACATTACTGGAGGTTTTATAAGCTGTAGGATTATAAAATCCTTGGTAGAATTTTTGGGGTCACTTATGTATACTATCATATCATTAGTAAATAGCGAAAGTTTGACTTCTTCATTTATAATTTGTATCCCCTTAATCTCCTTTTGTTGTCTTACTGCTCTAGCTAGAACTTCGAGTACTATATTGAATAAGTATGGAGAGAGTGGCAGCCTTGTCTTGTTCCTGATTTTAGTGAAATTGCTTTGAGTTTCTCTCCATTTAATTTTATGTTGGCTGTCGGCTTACTGTAGATTGCTTTTATTACGTTTAGATACATTCCTTGTATACCTGTTCTCTCCAAGACTTTTACTGTGAAGGGATGTTGTATTTTGTCAAAGTGTTTTTCTGCATCTAATGAGATGATCATATGGCTTTTTTCTTTCAGTTTATTTATATGATAAATTACATGAACAGATTTTTGTATGTTGAACCATCCCTGCATCTCTGAGATGAAGCCAACGTGATCATGGTGGATGATTTTTTTTGGTGTGTTCTTAGATTTGGTTTGCCAATATTTTATTGAGTATTTTTGCATCAATGTTCATGAGGGAGACTGGCCTGTAATTCTCTTTCTTAGTAGTGTCTTTATGTGGTTTGGGTGTCAGGGGAACTATAGTCTTGTAAAAAGTGTTTGGCAACACAATCCTTGTGTTGCTATTGTGTGGACCAATTTGAGAAATATTGGTATTAGCTTTTCTTTGAAGTTCTGGTAGAATTCTAAGTTGAAACCATCTGGCCCTGGGTTTTGCTTTGTTTTGTTGTTGTTGGGAGACTTTTGGTGACACGTCTATTTCC